TTCCCCTCAAGTGATAGCGCCTCTTAAGTGGGGCCCAACCAAGTGAGGGCTAGGATATTTCTGGGTTGGGTGCCTCTTCTAGGTCAGCCGAGGATTAGTCATGCTGCCAAGCGCCCTTTCTGGGATGGCAACATGTGGATACCCCGTTCCAAAAAAAAAAATTGTTTTGGATTTTGTATGCTAGAATAATCTATAGTGTTTACAGTGATTATTGGTGACTAACTATATAGAAGTATTTGTTGAATGATAAAGTTCTCCCTCTTTATAATTGTAGCTAAGGATGCTAAAATATTTGTACATAAAATTTAAAAATATATATATTATTCTTAAAATACTTTAAATGGCACAAATAGACGATACTTTTGTAAGAAATGTAATGCATAAAATGAAACAGATAATAAGATATGATATTTATCTCTCTTATCAATGTTATTACTGTCAAAAGAAGTTCCAAAACCTATTACATTGTCATCTTGGAACAAAACAAATTTACAAATAATTTTACACTAATTTATCTATTTTGACAAACAGACATATTGTCTTCTAAATTTTTTTATATTATTGTGTAACCTAGAAATATGTTCCCACTAAGTTATTTTTTTATACTATTTGTTATTAATTAGAAGAGAAGCTAGTTTCTTTCAAATCTTTCATAATTGTGTTTATTTTCTAAATACGCTTAATTGCTTGTTTGTTTTCCTAATCTTAAATTTCTCACAATTAATTTCTTTTAGAAGGCCAAGATCTGTACTCTGAAATTCAATCTTAACAGTTTTTGTTTTTATCAATAGTAACAAATTGTTGTCTGAAAGTAATAGATTGCTCTCCCAAGAAATAAGAGGTTAGTTTTCAGCTGAAGTATGTTAATCATGAAAGAATATTACCACTCAACACGTTAAAATCATTGGAGTATATGAGACCTATTTGGTAGTATTATCTTTGCATGAAATTTATTTAGCTGGAAAGTGAATATATATGCTTACATTGGATGGAGCTTAGATTTCCCAATTTTCTACCAGATGTTAGCTCCCATTTATACAAGAGACCATCACTTGTTCCAATAACTACGTTATCACCCGATGCATCTACAGCAGTAGCCCTGAAAAACAAGCAAGAGAAGATGTGTTAAAAAGCCTATTTCCATAATACCTGAAGTCAATGTTTATTAAGTTTTTTTGGGGAGAAAAATCCATCCCAGAACTCCTGACAATTATTTTCTTATAGTCCTCTCTTAAGAACAAACTAAAAATAATCTAAAATGCTTTTGACCTTAAATATGGAAGCCTGCACAAACAAATTCATGAAAACTGTTTTCTTCACTCGAATGGGAATCTCAGAACAAATACAGAAAAAACTTGAGACCAAGCAACTACCATCTCGTAAATTTGTGCAATATTCTAGTAGGACCAAAGATTGTTTGGGAAGTTCTAATTTGGAAAGGAATCAAATCAACGTTGTCAACCTCAATTCAAATTCAAAAAATAAAAATAAAAATAAAAATAAAAAATAAAAACCTCAATTCAAATTCAACTTTTGTTCCAAGTGGCCAACACTGCAGGAAATATATGCATTACCGACAAAAATTCTGTGAGAAATTCCGTCAATTATTAAGTATCCTGACGGAATTTCCGACAGATTTTTTTGGCAAAAATGTTATTTAATACTGAAGGAAAAATCTGTTAGAAATATTACCGATAAAGGCCCTATTTCATCCCGAGATTGACTCCCTCTCCCATATCACAATTTTTTCCCCCAAGTAGCTCTCTCAAGCTCTCCGTTACCCGGCGCCGTTCAAGGTCATTTCTAAACCATTTTGTTCTATATGTTCGATATGTCTCTCATAAATTTCTTGGGTTTTGTTCTATATGTCTGGTTCAAATTTTTTTCTCATTTATTCTTATTGCATATGTTTTGAAAAAAATTTGACTTGCTAAGCAAACTGAGCGATATCATAGATCAGCTCACCAAGAAGTAGGTGAAAGGGTTGAGCACAATCTATTTATGCTCAGATCTTTCCAAGGAACTTTTAATGCTTCTGAATAAATCTATATTTTTCTTTGGTGCTTTTTGCATTTTGATCCTATTCCTCTATACATTATAAACATCTTATTGCAGGACTGTTTCATTTGTATTACTACGGGATACTGTGAAGGAGGAGATATGTATGTTACATTTGAAGCAATTTTTCGTATGCTCTCCTCTTCCTTGCAACAATTTTGTTCCTTGTTGGCTATTTATTTGTTGTTCAAACAAAATTTATGACTTTAACGGGGCTGAGTTGATGAAAAAATCCAATGGGGAATATTTACCCAATGAAGTTTTATTCCAGCTACTTCATTTGTATTGTTACAAGAATTTTTTTTTAATATTTTTTTCTACAGTTTTCCATCAGAAATTTCAGTCGGAATTTCCAATTTTTTTTATTCAATGGTTAAAAAGTTTTTTCATAAATCCTTCGAAATTTTTTCCGGTGGAAATTTATTCCAACATAAACCATTTTCTGTCAAGCGTTTTACCACCAAAAATTATTCCATTGGAAATAATAAATCCAACGAAAATGCTTAGATTTCTAAAGGATTTTGCAGCCGGAAATCGCAAATTTTCTTCTAGTGACACAAGCTGAAGAAATTGATTTTTAGATGGGACAACCTATTTTTTGAGTTGCCTTTACATGCAAGATGAAGTAATAATCCCAACATTTTCCCCACTGATTCAAACCTAAGAAGGTTGTGAACCATACATCCTGCAAACAAGTGCAGCTTTTTGCGTCCATATATAGCATAAATTATGTAACGTTAAGCTTAAGAGGATAGGCCAGCTGCAATGGTAAGTCATTAGGTTGACCATAAGTCAATATATAGGTCATGATTTCAAGTCACGAAATAGCCTCTCAACAAATATAGGAGCAAAGCGAGACATACATCAACCTCTCTCTAGACCTAGAAGTAACAGGAATTTCATTCTTCATGAACTAGCTACGCCTTTTATGTAGTTTCAAGGTCTTTTAAATAAAGAGCAGGTTGCTTAGTTCCATTGCACGAGTAAGAAACCAATGTATTTCCATGGGTCGCCCTCGTGGAGTACTTGAGTTCTTTCACATTTCTCGTATAGTTTTTCGTGGATTAGCATCTCGAGGTGCTTTGATGGGCATAAGGAAATCGTTCATGCAAAATAGAAAGATGGGTAAAAGAACAGATGACTCAATCCATTTATGTATCGATCATGATATATGCAATAACTCGAGCATCTATTTCAAATGCATATCCCATTTTTGCAGGGTTATGAAAATCCACGAGAAGCAACTGGGCCAATTGTACGTGCCAATTGCCATTGCTTGCTTAAGATCAAAAGCTTTTTTTTTCCAATTTAGGTGTTTTTCTCATGATTGATTAATGGCTCAAATAGTGAGTTCCAAGCATGTCCACGAAGGAAAAGAGTTATTTCCTGAGACTGAACTGAAGTGACGCTAAGTGCACACATGCTTTGTTGGCATAACAACATATAACTACAATTAGAGAGTGATAGCATTTGAATGTACCTCGGATCCAAAATGTTCCCCATGATGATCATGTTTTTGGTCATGAGTGCTAGCCTCCATAATCCAGCAGGACTTGTGCCTAACCCCTTTGCTTCAAGCTGTGTCTCCAAGTCAGGAGCAGTAGAAATCAAAATCCAAATTGCCATATCTTCAAATGATGATCCTAAGAAGATTTCACAATTTGTTTTCTGCATGCTCTCCATGATATGCTCTGCTGATTGAGTGGTAGGAAAAGTTGCATTCACTTGACAATGGAACACAGAAATTGGAATAATTTGAAAGGCTGTACTGCCAGGAGAAGAAAACTTGGCCAGAAACACCCTCTTCGAAATTTCCCTGAAGAAATGATAATTATATATGCTTGTGCCATGATTACCGAGGCTGAACACAAAATGCTCCTAAGATGAAACAAAATAATTTTGAAAAGCACTGTATTGGGAATTGACAACTTGGACACCTGCTTAATTTCAGTTAATTACGTGGTATGATTGTTGATATTCATATGACAGTGAGAATAGCCCATATCAAAAATGATGATTAAATTTGAATTTATAATAGAAAAAAACTCGTGAACCCATCAGCTTAAGCTTAGGAGTTGATGAGTATCTATCTACTAATGTGTTGGGCTTAATTTAAGCCTTCAATATTCCACCATCCTCCTAATAAGCCATATCAAAACCAACGGTTAAACTAGGATGTGTTTCATCTTGTTTTTGGCCCTCATGAGATTGGTTACTTCTACGAGGTTTAGCTTACTACATGACTTGATATTAAAAAAATTGCATTTAGGGGGTTTAATAACCAATTAGGATGATTCATGTGATGATGTGAATTGGGGATTGTTAAGATCGCCATAAGAGCTAAGAATACTCCCACATCAAAAGTTAAAATAAGAACTGAATTTCTAATCTACTAATAACAGCACTTACCAACTATCTTAAAATTTGGTTGATGAATGTTCTTATACTTATGCATTGGACTCAATTTGGGCTCCATTGTTCCAACCCCTATAAATAATTTCATGACGTGTTCTCTTAAAAGAGAAATCAACTTTTTTTAAGATAGAAGTATGAACTGGAAAAGTAAAAAAAAAAAGGACCAGTGCATTTAGGACTATCGCCAACATAGATGCAAGAGAAAAGATAAAGTTGTGACGAATTATGTTTTGTTATTCTTTTCAGCCCCAACATAGTAGAAGACATCTCATCAAAGTTTGGTAGCATGAATCCCAATTGTTCGCCTGCACTAAAACTCATTTAGGAAAAGCAGATGCAATAATCTATATATCAAAGGTGGATGTAAGATCAAAAAATACCATATGCCAAAATCACCGAGTCCATTGTGACCAATTATCAGAGAATCATAGTTTGGTACTCTTTTCAGCTCCAATATCGTAGGTGATATGTGATCAAAAGTTGGCAGCATGAACTCCTCCAAATTTTCACTGCAACAACTTTATAATCAAAATACACGATGATAATATAAGCCACAAGAAAGTTTGCAGTGGGTGAGGGAATAAAATATGATCAAAGAAATAGAAATTCCAATAAGGCAAAGTAGACAATATAACCTAATGCACAAAAGAGATTAAATTATTGCCTCTGGCGAAAACTTGCCAATCTCAATTATAAATTTTCCATTACTTCTTAAGGACACTACACCTTCACATATAAGAATTCATTTAATTAGTTTGGACATATAATTTATGATTGGGCAATCACCCTTCAATTGGAATAAGGCTAATTATGATGACACCTTCACATCTAAGGGAAAAGAGGGGGAGAAGTATTTTCATAGCAGTTGCTCTGGTAAATTTATGATATAATGAAAACATGGTAGATTGGCCATTAAAGAAACAAGAATTAGATGATGAAAAAAACAAGAAAATGTTTGGCAAGTAATTCTGAAAATTTATGTTGCCATTGTCAATTCCTCTGATGCGCTTCCTCTCCAATGACCTTGGTAATCACATGATGCAATTAGCTCATCCCAACCAGTCATTCTATATTGATGGTTGGGAGCCTAAGATTAAATCCACCAATACCAGAGTCATTAAAGTAAAGTGGTTTCAATCCCAAGCATCCAAAATGGAATTATGAGTACGATTCAAGTAATTACTTTAAGTACAGGTAACACAGTAATTGGTAAGAATTTGTATCCCACTTACCTCAAATGGTCAATAACAGGCCATATTGATTATGTGATATCCAACCATATGAATACATCTGTTAGGCAATAATTTATTCACGACAATTCAAGATAAGTGGGAAGATTGGGTGAGAAATATTGAGGAACATTACAAAGATAGCAATACAGGCATTCAAGTATATCTGTGAAGAGGAAAAGCTTCCAATGCAAGCCACCTGCCTCATCAGCAGACCACCAATGTACCTAGCACCAGCAGCAGCCAGGAACCAAGCCAACCGAAGCATATTTAATCAGTTCCAGCAGCCGCCAGATGTAACCAGCAGGAATTAGTCTTTTTCGTAAACCTTTTACTGTATTTACTTGGTTATTTTAGTAAGTAGGCCTGCACGGTTCAACATGTTGCCCAAACCAGTTCAGCCTTAGTGAACCAGAAGTCTTTAAATACAAAAACCAGCTACAAGAATTAAATTAAGAAATGATAATCTGTTTTCTTATCTTCTGCATTTCTCTTCTAGGAGTTAATACCTACTCAAAAAATGTCCACACCACATCTTGATTCAACGAGAAGCTTAACAACTGGTGTTCTCGTTGTGAGCGAAAATTTCAAATTTAGTGGATGTTTTGCGCACTATGCAGTCCAATCAAGAAACTGTAATTTGCTAAAATTCAGAAATCCTTACGGCAAGCTGATGTTGAACTTGCCTCGATAAACACTACCTTACAACAATTCCAAGATTTCATGGACTTCATGGATAAATGCCTCAAATGTCTTGCACCAACCACCCATCCACATAGTCCGTCAGGCCTCCACCTAAAGCATATGAATATTTCAATTTTCTTAATACTATGGATTGTCATGGTGTCCGCATAACTTTTTTTCATCTTGAAGGCCCCGTTGCCACTTGGTATCAGTGGTTACGGATGAATGGCCAAAACCTTTCTTGGGCAATTGAAATAATTTTTAATATGATGTTTTTTTTAAGGACAACATAAATAAATTGGACAATGGGAGTGCTCATTCATGGAAAAGATATTGAACACAAAATTTTTGAAGATTTTACTATAGAATGTTTGATTGTCAATGTGATCATATAGTTAATGATAGTTATACCTAAATTACTATTTATAGTGTTAGATATTGATCCTAGATTTAGGATTGTATTTTTGTTTAGGTTTCTTGTATGGCTTGTATGGCCAATAGAGTAGCTAATTGTTTAGCTTGTTATGTTGCTTTTGTGCCTATATATAGGGGTCTTATAGGTTGTAATAAGAGTGGCCAAGAAATAAAGTTTTCTGAGTTTGGCTCTGTCCCTCTCCTCTTCCCTCCCTCCCTCAAGAAAGTATCAGAGCCAAGGGAGTGGCGATCTAGAGGTGGAGGAGAGGAGGTTTCTTGTCTAAAGAAACTTATTCAAATCAGGAAGAGCCCGATCGGGAGCAGGGACGGACACGACCAAGCCTCGGGTTGGACTCGGCGGTGTGGATTCGAACGCTGGGTTTGGAGGAGTCGGACGGCAGCGTGGTAGCAGGTGTTGGAGTTAGGCCGGAAGAGGCGGCGACCGGGTTAATTTATGAGCATCCTCGTGTGGGAGTCTTGATCAGGAGGAGGTGGAGCCTCTGACTTTGGGATCAGACGCAAGGCATGCGATCTTGGCGGGTGGCTTGGTTTGACTAGAGAAACTGGAGATGGTTTCATTCGCAGCTTTGTGTGAAGGAGCCAGACATCGAATCCTGAAGGTGTGATCGCTGGTTGGACGAAAGCGGGCTGAGCAGAAGTGGTTGCTAGCCCTTCGGCTAGAGACTTCTGCTGCCATCAAGATCCAGAAATTCTTCAGACATAGGAGGTTTGTTGAATTGGAATGATCAAGGATACGTGAGCAGTTCAGCCATACTTTCAGTGATCACTGTCAAAAGGTAGATCCGACTTGCTTGGGCTGAAATCAAGATAGTAGACGGTGGGGAGCCAAGAAGATTCCGCGAGCTGGAGCAAGGCTTCGGCCGGCTATGGTGCAGACGGATCTTCCTAATCAAGGGAAGCCAGAGAGCGGCAAAGGGCTGCATGTGCTACCTGGTGGAGGCAGTGCTAGGAGAAGTCGGTTCAGGCGCTTGGTGCGGAGACATGCATGCTGGAGGCCGAAGTCGAGTTCGGACGTTGAACTTATGCAGTTTTGTTGAAAGACGGGCTTGGATCGAGCATCAAAATCTGAATCCAGGAAGTCGGCTGGCCTTATTTGGCCGTCGATTGCGGTCTGTATTGACAGGGCAGCGAACCGACTGGAAGCATGTCTTTCATTTCTTGATTAAAGATCGATCAAGATTTGACGTAGAGTTTTTGGAGTTCAGGTGGAGTCCAAGGGATAGAAGTGGAGTCGACCTGTTCTTGAGGAGCAGTGCCGGAAGTGTGAGGCACTTGGAGGTGCAAAGTCGTGCGGTGCACGAGGAGGTCACATGGGAGTGCAGGGCACTGGTGGAGGACACGCAGGGTGCTGACCAGATGCGACAGTGCAGGGTGGGATTGTGACGAGCGGAGCGCAGGTGAAGGCGCAGGGCTCAGTGCACAGGTGGATACGTGCAGGATGTGGTTGGAGTTAGACCACATGAGTGCAAGGCGCGAGCTTGAGGCGTAGAACGTGGGCTTGAAGCGCGGGCGCATACTTGAGGCGCGGGCGCGGGCTAGAGGCTTAGGACGCGGGCTGGAGGCGTAGGGCGCAGGCACGAGGCGCAGGATGCTGGTGGATGCACAGGGCGCTGAAGTTAGACACACAAGGGGTGTTTGGGAATTGATTGCGTGGGACGCAGTGCGACAGGAGAAGATCTGTCGGGAGGTGGAGCTAGAGCTTGTGAAGTAGGAAACTAAAGAAGATGGTGGAGCAGTTCTTGAGAAAATTATTAATTATCCGGTGGACGCTATTGGCGGGGAAGACCGGCGGGGCTGTTCTTTGTGAACAGTAGTTATATTTTCTTTTGTGTGTAAATCTAGGATCAAGGTGGAGATTGTTAGATATTGATCATAAATTTAGGATTGTACTTTTGTTTAGGTTTCTTGTATGACTTGTATGGCCAATAGAGTAGCAAGTTGTGTAGCTTGTTATGTTGCTTTTGTGCCTATATATAGGGGCCTTATAGGTTGTAATAAGAGTGGCCAAGAAATAAAATTTTTTTAGTTTGGCTCTCTCCCTCTCCTCTTCCCTCCCTCCTCAAGGACTCAAGAGGAAGTGATTCTTCCTCTAGAGCAAGATTCTACATATAGTACTCAGTCTATGTTTACCTTACCATAGAAGTTTGTGTTGCAAATTAATGGACAAATCAATTATTTTCATCTTCCTTGTTAGTCTCATTAATTTAAAAGTTGAAACCTATAAACATGTGAATAACTAATGAGATCAAACTGTAGTGGAAGGAAATATTCACATGATTTAATTATCAAAGAAAGTATGAAAATTTTAAATGCTATTTTGAAATAAGATTGATAGGTCTAACTAAATTTCAAATATTAATTGTGGTTTATGCTTCTAGGGGTATTAATTAAAATTATGCTATTGAATGGAATATATGTAAATTAATTAACCATATTAATTTTAGTAAAAAAATTATAATTTAAATAAAATTACTTAATGTGTATCTCTTATGTGCACAATTGTGAATTTCTGATGTGCACAATTATAGGTATTCAACTAAGAAATGTAGAGTTTAAGGATTAAGGAAAGAAGACAAGTAGTTTAGGTTGAGGTGGTATTATACTTTTAATTTATGATAATAATATTACTTCTTCTAAACTAAATGCATTGAATGATATCAATCCTTGTTCAATTAATTGTTATTGCAAATTCAGTCATAATTTATCTTTAAATTTGCAACAATTAATCATGATAAAATAGGTGATAATTCCCATAATATGTTTCAATTAATTATAACATATTCTATAAAAATCATTAAATGATACAAAAAAAACAAGAATGAAATGAAATTTATATAAATGATAGCATGTGCATATTATCTTATGATACTAACTACGGATGCAATTACCCATTTGAATAAATTGGAAAAAAAATTAGAAAAAAAAATTGTATAACTAGTGCAATTTAGATGATATCTCATGTGACAATTATATTATTTACAAAACAAATAAGATACAATACGATATGATGTGATTTCTAGTTTTCTACTTATATAATTATTGAGGGGCTGAATGTTTCAAAGCCTCTTATAATGTCATATTTAAAAAAAAATAAAGTAATGATCTCACATTATTTCATGTTTAAAGATAAGCATATAAATTATTTTTAAATATTCTTTAACGCTACTGCATTTTGAAAAAAATAATATATGCACAAAGTTATATTATTATTGTAACAGCTCAAACTCTTAACTATTGAGATATTGTCCACTTTAGCCTAAATGACTCACGATTTTATCCTATTGGTGAAACTTCCCAGAAGATCAACCATCCCAGAATTTCTTTGGGATGAGCACACTCAACTGCACAGTTTCTTATTGAAATTGTAACTATTACACCAAAAGGAGATTCAATGTTTAAGAGTATAACTTCTTTTACTTAAGAACTTTCACAATCTCCCCCACTTAAGTAACTGAAGTCATTGTCAGTATCATTATTCCAGAATCATCCACCAGGCAGATAGAATTCTAGAGGTGGCGCCTACAAGTTCAAGTGGTGACTCCCGCCACGTAAAACTTTGTCTCATACAAGGTTCAAAGGGTGGCTCCCATGACATAGCACTTTGTCTTGTATGACATAGTTCCCACCTTCTGGCTGCCCAAACTCTTAACATCAAGATATTATCTGCTTTGGCTTACGAGCCTCATTGTTTTGTCCTGTTAGTGTAATTTCCCAGGAGGTCACTCATCTCAAAATTTCTCCGAGATTAGCACACTTAACTGTCGAGTTTCTTATTGAAATTCTAACTATGACACCAAAAGACGCCTCAATATTTAAAAGTTTAGCTTCTTTTACTTAAGGGATTTCACATTTACTCACTTTCATTATTTAACAAATCTATACATATAAATAACTCGAGGATTAAATGAGTAGAAGATAAAAAAAGTGTATCACAGACATAGGCTCCACAAGAGATATTTTTATTTGGAATGTTTATATTTTTAGTTGAATTTTTTTTTTAATTCTAGTGGCTCTTTAGACATATTGGAAGTAGTTATTTTGTACTTAATATGAGTGAATAAAATTTAAAATCTTAGTCAGGCTCTCTAGTCTAGCCTCAGCATTCCGAGTTTCCAAGCCAGGTCATGACATAAAATATTAAGATGAGACTCTAACTCTAATATCCCAGTCTCAATGCTTAATAGTGGTGGTGTGTAGTATGACCATTTAAATGTGCATCTCATATTATTAAAGGCAAGGTTTAAAAT